GTAGAAACTCCTAAATAATGTGTTTATGGAACTAAGCAATAGCTTCATAGTGGAAAATTATGTAGATCATTGGGTCTAGTTGGTGAATGTTCTAATGAAACTGAACTTAAGAAACATTGATTCAGCAGTTCATCCAGGCTGTGCGTGATGGGATGCTGTCCTACACAAGAGAGTTGTGTCATCATCCAGGGAAGATCTTAGTGAGAACCAGTGGAATATATGGCCAAGAACTTTGGAGGGGGAACTCCACCCAGTGACAAGAAAGCCGGGGCAGGGTGTGATACAGAAACCTCTTCCAAAGAAGACTTTTCGCTGGTTAACATTTAAAAAAAATCTACAGTCACACAGATCACATCCACAGTAGCAAATGAGGCAGGGAAATCAATCAGAATGAGAACAGAGAAAAAGGCCATTCGATTTGGTCATTAGGATGTCATCGGACTCTTTAAAGAGTTAAGTGATGCTCAGCAAGCAGAGACCAGACTGAAAGGGTGAGTGAGAGATGGGGTAAAGGCTCCACTAGAAATGGTGCTTCCAAACTGTGGAAGGGGAGATAAGGCAGGGTGTAGAATGGGGAAATCTGAGCCCCTTTGCAGGCTGAGAAGAGAGCCAAATCCAGACTGGGAGACAGCTCCTGGTGTGGCTGAAATGTGCCCACCCTTGCTCCAAGGATAAAGGAGGAGGCAAAGCGAAGGGGTTAAAGGCTCCGTGTGTTAGCCACCTCTCCGGTGATGTTAGATTCCAGTGACAGAATCTATGTAATTTTTCTTTAACTCAGTCTGTAGCTGAGCTGTGTGGAAACCCAGAGGCTAGAAACATGTTTAACAACCTTCTTCAATTCCTAACTTTCTCCTTGGGCTGTCTTCCCTAGATCGCTTTACAAAAAAGAAAAAAAAAAAAAAAAAGCCAAAATAATAATGCACCTTCCAATAGGAAAAATTGAAGAAGTGCACTCTTTGTGCCAGACTACGATAATAAGGCATGCTACTTATGTTTTAATTAAAACATGAAAGGGGCTTCAAGTACCAAAATTTAATTGACATGTTTACAGTGGCATCCCATGTACCAAATTAATTCATAAAAACACCGTTCTTTGCAGTTTTGAGGATTGAATCCATTCATAAAATTAATCGGTTGTGTTAACTCACCCAACCTTTACCCTAACACAGTGATAAAGCCATGCTTTTCAAAAGCAGGACCAAGACACACCCAGTGTGCAAAGGCCCCCTGGACTCTTCATATGAAATCGGAATCTGCTTTTGAAATTCTGCTTTTCTTTATTTTGAGAGAGGCTATTCTGATACCTGGAAGTGGTCACCATATGCTGATTTAAATGTTTGCTTTCGCAACATTGGGGTGATCCCAGGATAAACTGGGACACGTAAATTCCACTGCAGTAGCTTGCCAGGCCATAGAAAATCACATCTGGGAAGAGGACCATGAGAATCTTTATTTAGTAATGCCTGAGCATCCCAGGACGCAGCTACTAAGTGTTGCTATTAAGTGACCCTGACCATGGATGGCTGCCGGACGCCAACACCCAGAGAATCTTCCCTCTCCTCTTGGTCCATTTCTTCACAACCACTGCCTCCTCTTGAGCTGTACCAGGCAGCAGTTAGAACGCCCTGACGGGGCTGGGAAAGGGGCTGAGGAAAAAGAAGAAACTGAAGAAGCGTGCAGCAAGGTGGGACATGACTGAGCGGCACCCAAAGGGACCCAGGCATGGATAGGTGTCCAGCAGGCCTTCGCTGACAGCTTCCTGTGTGTGTAGTGTGTTTATAAACAAGATAGAGGGCGGTGGTTGTTACCTTCTGTCGCTTAGGACTGAAAAGCTGACTGGAATTTCTTCCTCACGTTAGTAAAGGAAGAGACAAAGCATGATATGAGGGCTGAGCATGTTGTCAGGCTAGAAAAACAACTTGGGAAGAAACTTTAGTCCTGTCAAGAGAGCTAACAAAATGAGAGCAACAAAGAATAACATTTCTGAGCACTGTGCATGTCATTTTAATTATTTTGTGAAGCCAGCCTCAAAGAGGGACGGGGAGAGAAACCAAAGAACAATGATCTTTCGGAACAGAACAAAACAAAACAACTCATACCCCGTCCTGGGGCAAAGAAAATGACTGCCTTAAGGCAACCTCTGTCTTTTAAACTCTTTTTCCAGTTGACAGTTTCTCTAAGGTTTTCATGCCCTGCAGCCTCTGAGTCTGTGTTTAAAAAATTATCAAAGAAATAAAAAGGAGTTCGCATGTATAGGTGCGCTTGTCTAGCGACTCTCTGTGCAAGCCTCTGCTTGCTCACGTCCCAGACGTTGCCCCTCCCTGCCTTGAAGAATCGAGAGGTGAAAATAAACTGGCAAATACCACCCAATACTGCAAGTTAGCGTGGATCGGAGAGCAACAGTCAAAGGGATCGTAAATAACACTAAAAGGCACATAAAAAGTAGGAAAACAGGATAACGTCTGTTCACTCTTCTTCGGTTCTTCAGAGTTAAATAAATTAGCTAAAAATCTTGATTTTTCTCCTTTAAAAAGTCATAGATCCTTCAGTAAGGAAAAGCTTTCTCGTTCTCCTAGGAATATGGAACTTCCTGACAAAGCCAAACCCCATTTAGCTTCACACATCTCAAAATCCCATTTCTGGGGATGTCATAATTTCAGCATTTCCTGAGGGGAAAACCTATCTAGCAATCAAGACGGAAGCTGCAGTAAACTCTCTGCAGAGTTCTTCGTGCAAAATGGATGGGTGCTGAAAGCCTTGGAGGAACGATCCCCCCCTGACTGCTCCCACCAGCAATCCGAAAGTGAGAAGAACAGAGGAGGAGGTGGAAAGTTCTGCTTGAACATATGCTGGCTATATTATTTTAAGTGTCAAAAATATGTCACCTGCTTATTTGTGCTTTCTATGTATTTAAGATCTGGAGACTTCCAAGCTCAGAGTGATCTAGACAAGAGATTGCAGTGATCAGTTGTATCAGAACCACCCTGCAGAATCTGAGCAGGGATTGGCATTGCCCCTCATCCCCTACCTTCCCCCGCCTTTCTTCCTCCTGAGGGAGGAGTACAGGTCCCCTGCTGGGACATTACAGGGCTGCTCCACCTGCCTCCAGACTCCTGCAGGCATTGCACACACTCTACTCTATGATTTCATGTAGGATACTGAGGACTTCACAACTAATTGGATTCAAAACCATTTGTAGGACGAAGTTTTCATCTTTCCTTTACCACCCACCTCTATTTTATCATCTTCTTTAAACGGGAAAGGCCTTAGTAGTATGTGCTCTTCCTCATAGACAGTCATAAAAACTGTACCTTGGTGATATCTGAATGGTTGTTGATTTTTGCACAGTATGAACATATTTAGGACTTATGGACCTGATTCAGCTTTTTTTAGAGTGTACCAGTCAAATAATCAGCATGTCCTCAGAAATTAGAAGTGAATGACCTGTCTTTCAGATAGTACTAGGAACAGTCCAGGTTGCTGGGCACCAAGGCAAGCCTGTGTCTTGTTTTTCATTTTTTGTTTGTCTGGTTGGTTTGTTTCTGGGGTTCTGGGAACTGAACCCAGGACCTTCACCCTGAGCTACATCCTCAGCCCTTTCTATTTTTTGTTTTGAGTTAGAGTCTCCCTAAATTGCCAAACTGTCCACGCTGGACTTGAACTTATGTCCTTCCTGCCTCAGCCTCCTAGAGCACTGGCTTTACTGGAGTGCACCACCACAGGGGGCTGTAGCTGTGTTTCACATCCTGGGTCAATTCAGCAACCCCGCTTACTGCAAAGTTTGGGAAGATTTCCCCAGCCAGCATGCAATGTGCCCCACTTTCTGCTGTGGCTACTCTTTTATTCAAGTGGCTTAGTCGTTTTGAGATTTTTGTCCTACAAGGATTCTCCTCTGAAATCCCATCCTTGTTTCCAAAACTCTCCTATTTAACCTAGGGGAATTTTATTCACTACTTATTTCTCTCTCTTCTAATTCCGTCTTCAAATTAGTGAGGCCCAGAAATCACTAAACAGCTGTTAAGCAAAGTCTTAATGAATATTCCTCCAAACCGTCGGCTCTGATCGCTCACAATGTTCTAAGGGTGGGCGCGGAAGTAGATACAGCTCAGCTGTGAAAGGTGTGGACCCCGAGGAAGGGGCAGAGGGCCGGGGTGGGGAAGCACATTCTCCTCAACAAGTCAAAGAATTCCTTATAGTTTTAACTCTAGGGATGAAAATATGTCATTTGGGAGCCTCCAAATCATTTTTAGGTATATTTCCATTCCTGCACTGACTTCAGACTGGTAGGTAGCCACTTTGACTTTATTTGGAGTGTACACATGAAGTCAGAAGCCCACTCCAGCTTCCCGCATCCTAAAATGTTTGAGGGATAAGAGTTTATCTTAGACCCAGATGACTTTCTACCTGTAAGTTATGAAAAAAAAACCTAAAAGAATTAGCAAAATAGATAATTCATTTGTACCTCAGCAGAGAAAAGCTTAAGGTCTATATTTTCTAATTTTTATAATTTTAATACTTTCATTAGGTATAGGTTTATGCCCTACACACACATGCACACACACATGCCAGATGCATCAAATCATACTCAGAGTCGTGTAAACTGCCAGGTCTGTCAGGTTTAACCGTTGGTTTTCTCTCACATCTGAGGCAATCCAAGTAGACATCCCCCAAGTCACAGCCCAACTTCTTGAGAGCTGTCCAGATGCTCTCAAAAGAATTAAAAAGTATAGAAGCATCCTTGTTTTCACTCAGAAAGTGCATGCGCTCTTACCTAGGGGATACCCTCCGAATGACCTTGACCAGTCCCAGTTATGCTCGGGATGCCCTGGTTTCACAACAGTACTTCTTTGCTACATAGTTTTGCATCCTTTATGCTTTCCATGTACTCTAACAGCATTCCCATTGATCACCCCACAGAACTAACTCACCGTTGGTGTGTGCACTCCTCGGGGGTGGGAGGAGGCCGGATTCATGACTCAATGGGATCTTCTCTATGCCAGGTCCAGACTATAAGGAACTGGATGTTCACCTTCGGAGGATGGAGTCTGGATTTGGCTTCAGAATCCTCGGAGGAGATGAGCCTGGCCAGCCAGTAAGTTGAACCCCCTTTATTTCCACACTTTCTGCTCTATTGTATGTGCAAACGCAAGAGAAGATATCAGTCAGGATGACATTGAAAAGGAAGTGTTTTAGACCTCATATAAAAAAATCAAATCTTTTATTTTCCCTTGCTATTCTCTTTAAAAAGATCTCACAACAGCAAGTTTCTGCATAGCCAAAATAATATTATATATCACAATGAGAAATATTACACTCCCTAGAGTGGATGGGTTCCTGTAGAGTATTTCAGTTATGCAAATGCCTTGGAGCCTTGCTCTTCTTGAGGGGCAGGCTGTGGGTAGACAAGCAGTATGACCAAAGATAGGTATATGGAGGAGACTTGCAAAGTCAGAATTAAGTACGCTTGCAGCCAAAAGAAGGAAGTGTAACCACAGGGATAAGCGGAAGTATAGTCAAGTTCAGTGCTGCAGAGTCTCAACCAGATCTGAATTAAAGGCTTGCCTTGAGGAGATGTTCACGGAGGCAACCAGCTGGTGCAGTATTGGGCTTTCACGAAGGGCTATGGAGAAATCTTTCTTTGACATGCACAAATGTGTACATATTCAGAGCAAAAACATCCAGTGACAGTAATTAGTACACAGAAGACTTTGTGAGTATGTATTAAAATATCAGCTACAAAACACTCATTGTGAAAGATGTATCTTAATTTGTACTCAGTGCAATCAAATCAAATCCATGAAAGTTTTGAAAACCTAAAAGTCAAAAGAGGGTACTCACATACCAGTGCCTCCACTCTAGGGCCTGCCCCCACCCAACTCGTACCACAGACTCCAAGCCTCATCTGCACCACGAGGGTCACTGCAGTGCTTTCCCTTGGGGTGACTCCCAGGAGTAAAGGAGTCAAGATTAGCTAAAGTTCCTGGTAGTGTCTTCATGATATCGTCAATTACATCTTTATTAGCTTCAGTTTTGTTTTCATGTTAATAGATTATTCCCAAAGATAAAAATAAAACTGAAATCTCCAAGAAAAAAATGTCAGTCTAACAAGTGAAAATCTCCAAGAAAAAAAAGTCAATCAAATGAAAGCCTCCCCAAAGTGAAGTAGGTAGGTAGAGAGTGAGCGCCTTCCCCGGAGAACGGTTTCAGCAGAGTTGCTGAGAGCGTGACAGGGGCCCCAGAGGGGCTTCCACTGCCTGAGAGAGCTGGGCTGTGCATCTGATGAGGTCTCTTCCTACAGAAAACCCCAGGACGTGGAGCTTGGCCTCCATGCACAAGGACACTCGGGAAGAGGGGAACTGTTTCCCATTCCCTGGGCTGGTAACCTATTGGAAACAATTAACCAGCATGTCACTCATTTCCCGGCTGCCAAAGAATATGTAGGAGGGCGTTTCCAAGCCTTGGCCAGGTTCTCCTTAGTTTTGAAATGAAAGCGAATGCTGAGGTGAAAACGTAGGACTCAAGTAACCTCCGATTTAAATGTATTGAAGGCCCACGCTCAGGTCCGCATGTCTTGGTTTCCCTTTTCTCCCTTCGTTCCTCTCTTCTTGTGACCTCCGATTGTGAGTTTCCCAGGGACTGTCAACCACTTGGTTCTCACTCATCTTATTTTATATGTGGAGAGCTGAAAATATCAGGAAGGACCTTCCTCTACGTAAACATCTAACCCCTCAATTTATTCTCCCAAGCCCCCTTGCCTCCAGAGGATATTTACTGACTCGGCTTCCTGCAGCATTATTGTCTGACATGTTTACACATCTGCCTATCTTGTATGATCTGCAGGATTTCAAATTCCCATTAAGCACAGACTGCATTTCCTTTATTAATTACTACAGCAATATCAAATGTTGCATTCTCAGAATATTCTGTGGCTATCCCTAAGAACTACAAGCAAGGAGGAGAGAGGGGTCATTCTCAGGCCATTGGAGAGCTGTCCTGTCCCCACAAATTTGATCCTTCTCTGGAACAACTCAGGCTCAGGAGAGTGTCCCGTTTAGGATTAGTTTTACTATAATTGAAGGATACAAATCAGAAACAGCCAAAAGAAGAGATGCATGGGACAGAGTCTAGAAAGTTTCAGACGAGATTGGGCGTGTTCAGGGTGGTATGGCCGTATGGTATGTTTTAGTTATGTTTCTGGTCTAGAAAGTCTCAAACATGAATCTTCAATCATTCTTGGAGGAAGTGACCCTCCAGCTTTGACCTGTCAGGCATTGCCAGTGAAGAATGCTCTGCCAGATTGTGGTGCCCAGAGCTTCTCCATAGGCATGGTTGATCGAATCCCCACTATTGAGCTCAGCTTGCAGTCCCTTGTTCCTCGAAGAGGCCAGGCTGATACCATGAGGCTCCAAGGCCCAGTGCTCTCATTACATGGTATTCCTGGTATGGCCAGTCCTCACCAAAGGCTCTTGATGTGGCTGGCCCTTCCTGAGTCATCTTCTGATGCTAAACTATCAGGCATGGAAAAGGAGACACTCCTGTTCCAAGAATTTGGAGATTATCTCTCAGGAACCAGGAACAATCACCAGACCTTTCTTTGAACTGAAACCAAATTCTTTCCTACAAAACCATAAGCTTTGGCACTACTCATAACCTTTTAGGTTGTAGCTAATGGGTTCCATTCTAGTGCCACAGCAGTTCCAATAATACATGGCTGACTGACGCTAGTGTCTTTCAGTTTCAGGAACTGGAGACAAATGAAAACAAACAAACAAATAAAAACCCATAAGCTTAAAAGATTCCAAAGGATTGCAACAAAATAAAGCCATGCTCAAAATAAAATACCATTGTGTGGTAATATCACACCATTTGTGTGATATGGGCAATAAAGACAAACTCAGATCAAATCCATTGCATTTAAACCAGCATAATTCCTCAAACTTACCAACTAAAGGAATTTTTACCAAAAACACAAGTCTCTGTTCCAGAATATATGAAGTGACATCATTTCAACCTGTGGGCCTCTTCAAGGTGAGGACTGTAGTTTAATGATATTTATGTCTTCTAAGACTAGCTCCAAGCCTGGTATGACATATAGGTGTGGAATGGAATTGAAGAAAGTTTTCTTCACCAAGACAAAACTATCCCTGGGTTTCTCAGAACAAATACTGATCTGGAGCTTCCATTTCCTATTGGCCTCTAAACACAGGCCCTGTAGAGTTACTCTGGCCTAGAAGCAGAGTTGCTATGCTAACAACCGTGTAAGATCCTTTGTGAGCTGCCACAGTGTTTTAAAATTGTTGAGCCCTAACCCTTTTCACACATTAAAAGTTTTGATTTCAAAGTTTTTACCTTGTCTCCACGAAAAAAAAAAATGGATCTAGCATCTTTGAGCTGTCTTGACCCTTCCAGGCTAGACAGGGTCACAGTTCTACCCAGTGTCTGTGCTGCCTCCTTAAGCCACCATCTTTGAAGCTCCCATCCCAGAGGACTGGATTAAAAGAAATTGGAAATATAAATATTTCATGCCACAGGAGCCAGCAACCAGGGCCAGGCCATGATCTTTATTGGCTCTTAGCACTGAACATATTGTCAGGTCCCTTCTTTTGTATATAAATGCAAATAAAACATTAAGCTATGAAATAAATATGGGACAAAGCAACAGTTTCAATTCTTTCCTTGATACTTATTTTGGTACAGTCTTTGAAATATGAAATTCTTGCTTTGCCAGGCCCCCGCTCATGCTTTACCATTTAGGGGGTAAACCAGTACCCTACTCAGCAAATGTTACCTTTGCCTCCCCTGCCGGCCCTGGAAGGAGAAAGGCCTGCTTGACCCCGTCGTGGGGAGCACAAGCATAGTCTTGGTCCTCAAGAAGGGACAGGGCCTGCTAGACTCTGCCTGGCAGGAGAGATGGGATTCTTCCCCATCCCACACACACTGCTGCAACTGAAGCTCAGGGTGTGTGTGCGCCATGCCCTCCACACAGCCTCAGGACATCATCCTGCCCGGTGTGTGCCCAGGTTCCCAGATGCCCAGGCCTCCTGAACCCTGAGTTCTTTCTCCTCACAGCACATTTTTATGATAAGTCTCTATTACGTGGATTGCTTTTTATCTGTATTGTGATTATTTAGATTTATTCCTTATTGGAATGATGTAAGACAATTATCTGTGGCAAGTTATAATTTCACACTTAAGCCATAAAGTAGAAGCCTGAATCTCTCTGTTGCCACCAAAGCCCAAAAATAACTCCTGAAAACCAGAATAACCACATCAGGCAGAGTGAGTTCACCGTAAAGACCTCCCAGCAGCCTTTCCTTCCTGCTTTGCTGCACCCCACATCCAGAGACCACATACAAAGCTGGTGCCCCAGCCTCTGTCCCCAACCACGGGAGGTCTCACAGGTTACCTCAAATGGGTTTCTACCTCCTCACATAGGAAATGGTATTGACATCCCATGGTGCTCACGAAACATGACAACAGGGCTCTGGACAGACAATGAACAGCAGGACTCTGGATCAGACAAAGCAGTTGAGCATTTTTCCTACAAAAGGAAGTACTTTTCACAGTTAAGTAACAATAGGGATAGGAGGAAATGAAAAAATGCCAGAAGAAAACAAAAACGAAATTTCCAGCTGTGAGCTAAAAAGAGATGGAAAAGCATCAAGATGGAAGACAGCAGACAACGCCACACGGGGCCCAGTGCAGGTTCACAGAGGAGTTTCAAAAGCGAGGAGCCTGTTGTTTGCCATGCTGGCAAGGGGTCCCAGGCCGCAGTTCTGGAGGAGCAGATCTTCTGGGGTTGGACTCATATCCAATAGTTGGGGCAGGGAAGAATTAAAAGCCCTGAGAGATGCCTTGGGTTTTGTTTCTAGTTTTGTTTTGTTTTCTTCTTAACATTTTTTTCTTTTCCCTGGTTCACTGGGTATCAGCCACACGAGTTGCTGTTACTTCACAGCTAAAGCTGTTTTGTTCAGGTCTTCACACGCAGACCCAGTGTTGTTGTGGCATGGTTTTATCCCCTGTGTTCATTCGAGAAGGAGATCGGAAAGGCAGGGCTGTGGATTTTACTTATACTGTTCCTTCAGGGCCAAAGCAAGGTAAAGAAGAGACCAGGAGTGCAGTGAGGTCAAAGAATGGGCCAAGGTGCATGCTGGCTGGACAGGCTCACTGACCTGAGACCAGCAGGAAGACGGAACTCAGGGGTCAGCAACCCGGACCAAACACTTGAGCACAGTGTGAGGGACAGAGAGTGTGGGCTGCATACCTGAGGAAAGTCTCTCAAGGGACTTGGGACATGACCAGTCAGACCAGAGGTCCTGTGGCCATCACACCAAATGCCATTCTCAGAGCCGTGGTACTGAGAGTGTGACTGAGCCAGAACCAGCACCCTCTACTCACTCCTGGGAGTGTGTCAATCATGCAGACACCAGGGCAGAATCGACTCCAGGATGGGGTCCCAGGCTATCTTGTCAAGCTCGTGGGGCCACTCCTCCACAACCTAAAGTTTGAGAACGCCTGACCAGAAGGGTCAGATTTGAGAAGCATCACATTCTCATGAGCTTAAGCAGGTTGATAATGTATCCTTTGGGAAGCTGAGAGGGTTACAGTGTGAGAGGGACTCATAGATTATTCAGCCCCGGCAGTTAAGGTGGCAAGTGGGAGGTAAGAGAATGCATCAAGTGCACAAACCATATTTGAAGTAAAGAAAAAAGTTGTGCTTTTTCCTGCACAGAGACACATAGAGCTATCTGTGTGTCAGCAGTGAAATAGTGTATAGTGCACACAGGTGCAAAATTGCCAAAGGCTGAGGAGGAGCAGCAGCAGGAGAGCTGGAGGAGGTGACACTGAGTGGTCAGCCCTGACAGTGAGTGGTCAGCAGCGGCAGCAGCACTCCCTGATGGATGGGGAAATACGGAGAATGCCCCAAGGCCTGCCAGTCTGTGTGCACAGTGCCCAACTCGGCTCAAGTTGGCTTAATAGCTACCGACGGGAACCTCGTGGGGAAATAAGGCGGAGAACATTATGTAACGTAATTGTATGGTAATATCCATATACATGACACTGTGTCCTAAAGGCTACCAAATAATAAAGTGTATAGTACGTGATTTATATGATAAGTATCATGGGTAAATTTTATGATAACATGCAACATTATATACTTATAAATTATATGTGATTATATAATAATTTATATTGAAGTATTGGATTTACTGTTTATTTAGATAATTGTAGTATTAATTGAATATACTTTTCCAACATAAATATGTAGGATTCGATAGAGCAAGTTGTAGGATGATTTAAGGGTTAAAGCTTGAAGTTTTTTGGTAACTGCTTCCAGTGAACCTCAGTCTTTGCATAATGTCGAATTCTCAGTGGTACAAACTGGAACCAGCTCTAGCACTGCTGCGGCCACGTTATTGACACTGTCTTCACCATGCTGTAGCTTTTCCATTGTACTTGCCTTCTGGCAGACTATATAATTCACATATTTATCGGGCTGGGGATTTAGCTCAGCGGCAAAGCGCCTGCCTGGCAAGCGCAAGGTCATGAGTTCGGTTCCTGGTACCGGAGGGGGAAAAAAAAAAAAAATTCACATATTTATCAAATTTGTTATTGTCTGAGCTCTGGGATGCAAACTCTACAGGGCAGGGATTTTTGTTTATTGATTATTGATGCCCTAGCACTTGAAAGTACCCCTGGGCTCAGTGAATATTTGTAGAACAGATTAATTAATGAGAGTAACTCATATCATACCAGTATCACAGGAAAGCAGGTATTTTACTGAGATCTTCCTTTTAATCAGTATGACACTGAGCTGCCAGCACAGAGTGTAACTTCAAGAGTTATGTCTATGTTGCTATTTCCCTCTGGCAGGAGGGAAACAAGAATTTTGCAATGCCAAACGTCGTCCTTGCTGTTTTTGTACAGAGCCCAATTGCAGCTATGGCTCAATCATAACCCTATTTTTTGTTTCACTTTTGTTAGTTAGAATCAGAACAATACCTTAAAATTAATAAAGTATTAGTCAAAAAATGAAAAACCATAACCAGCTATAAATCCCCCCACTTAAGTGCACAAGAGCTGTAAAGGTTGAAGCATTGTCTTTGGGCTCGCCCAACAAATTGCAGCTTTGCCTGAGGCAGTGGAGAAATGTAAGCATGCACTTGCCTGGCTTTTGCACAAAGCATTTTTAAAATCTTTGAAGCACTCCATCGTGGGCTGAGCCTTTTGAAGACTAGATTGGGACAACTTTAAAGAGAAATTCATAAATTCAAGTTGGCATGACAATAAGGGAAAATGGAAACTGTCCGAAGCTTGCCCAGCTTCTAGACTATAGCAAATGGGTTCAGTGGGTCACAGGGAGACAGCCACACTGTGCAGCCGGTCTGAGGCGGACGTTCGAGCCTTTCCTTTCATATCAACAATGAATCACTCATCAGAACAGTAATATTCTACGCCGCAGCAATTCTATTCCCCACACCTCAGGAACAGGAGGAAAGCACCAGTAGTGTACGAAATTCTTATTTTTCTAAAATGAGAAGTCATGCAACAGACCAAGGCTGGAAAGTCCTCAGATGGTAATTTTGGCTATACAGCACCTGAAAAGAGCTGGGCCTCCCGATCCGGTGCCATGGTGACAAAGTGACCAAGAACAAAGGGGTCAGGCTGCTGCCAAGCCTGAGAACACCGCCTGCAGGTCAGGAGAGAGCCATTCTGCAAACCAGCTGGAATCTCGCTGGAGCCCACAGACTTGAGACTCCAAAGAAATTATTACATCTAAAGTAAATTAGTTCACGAGCCCAAGGTTACTTCCTAAGTGTTTAAACCCTAGAGGAAGTGCTTTGCGGTGTTCCCAGGCTAGTATTAACCTCTACCTTCAGAGGCTGTGTGGCTCAGCCGTGCCATAGGAAAAGGAGCTTGCCATCCATCAGTTGGGAAAATTGTTCATAGGTTAAACAGAGAAATTAAAATATTTAGTACTCTTTTCCTTCCTCAAGACAGAAAAATATCCTTGCTAATGGACACCAAACCAAGCATTTCTAATGGAATGTGGGAACATTATGTGTTAGCTTTCATAGAAGTCCCTAGTACAGGGAATTGAGACAGCCTCTACAGTCCCCGGATGAGCACCTCCCACTTCCTGGTATGGCGGCCATTGCTCCCCAAAACAGGCGCAGGTTACAGGCAGACGCGGAGGGCACTCTAAAGAAATATGCAAAGGCATGGGAGGAGTGTCCAGAGAAGGCTTGTGACTGAGATATTTTTGAGCAAATCGTCTGGCCAGAAAAAGGCAACTATTATCACTGTTTTGTTTTTGTTTTATTTTGTTTTGTTTGCTTTTTACCCTCAGCCCCTTTCAAAGCAAAGCCAAAAAAGTAACAAAAACAAAAATTTTGAGTACCTATCAGAATTTAAAAATGCACAGTAGCTAGTTTCTCCCTGACATTTTTGTTGTTGTTTTGGGGTTTTGGGGGGGGGGGCATTTCCTGTGAGACAGGTCTTGCTATGTAGTTCACGGTGGCCTGGACTCACTATGTAGCCAAGGCTACCCTCAAATTTGAGGTAATCCTCCTGCCTCAGCCTCCTGAGTGCTGAGATTACAGGTGTGCGCCACCATGCTTGGCTCTCTCCTTGACATTTTCGGAGTATTCCCTGTGTGCCATGAAAAAAGTCAAATGCTTCATGTACTGTGCATTATTTCATTCCAGTCTCCCCAAAACCCTTAGGAATTGGTCCTCTTATTAGTTCCCTCATTTTTCAGGTAAAGAAATAGGTTCACAGAGGCTAAGAAGCCGTAGCAAAGCTACACAAGTAAGAACTGGAGCCAGCGTCTGGTCTCTACCTTGTTTCAAAAGAGTATGTGTGCTGGCCAGTTCGAGTCAGATTATTTTGAGTTAGATGTTTCCTTGAGGATGATAGCTCATTAGCCAGGAAGCAAATGTTCCCCAGGCTTTATGGCTATCGGCAGCGTGTTGGAGACGTTTATTTCTCCAAAAGTCGGCAGCCCGAGAACGTGGGGAAGGACATCCTCCCCGCCGCTTGTTCCGCATGTTCTACTACCAGCGTATGTGTATACATGCAATGTGATGTCCTTTCTTTCTCTCTGCTTCTCCAGATCTTGATCGGAGCCGTCATTGCCATGGGCTCAGCCGACAGGGATGGCCGCCTGCACCCAGGGGATGAACTCGTCTATGTGGACGGAATCCCAGTGGCCGGCAAGACCCACCGTTACGTCATCGACCTCATGCACCACGCAGCCCGCAACGGGCAGGTGAACCTCACTGTGAGAAGAAAGGTGCTATGCGGAGGTCAGTACCCAGAGCCACAGCGGGAGTCGGGGCTAGGTGGTGAAGGGCTTTTCTGAGAAATGGTGAGGGCACTGGAAAACAGTTGCTGTTATACAAGAAAGAAACAACGCAGATATTCCCAAAATAACTATGGTTTTGAAAGGAGACTGTCACCCCACTAGTAAAAAAATCCAGGCAGTCTTTGAGGCCTGCATTTCAAATGCAGCCATTAAAAATTTCTAGCCAAGCCCGGGCCTAATTTGATTCAGGTCTGCTCTTTGCTCTTTGGTGGATGTAGTTGTAAGAGGAAGATTATAATAATGGAATATACACCTTTTGAAAATGGTTCTCATTGCGTTTACAAACAAAAAGCTATGATATTTTGATACCATAATAAGGAATCCAGAATGGAAAATTAGCTCTCATTGTAAAGCGTGATAAAAGGTAACAATAAATGGTTACCCTGCGTAGAAAACTACAGCACTCACTTGGAGAAAACATAACTCATATAGCTCCAAACTTATGAAACAGATGAATTGGGGATAATTATTCCCTTACAACCACTTCCTTGGCTTCATAAAAGAATCCACTGAAGACATATTTTTATAAGTCAGCCCACATATTCATAATATGATCTAATTTTCTTCTCTTCACCATCTCAAGCCTCCTCCCCAAAAAAAGATTTATGTTTTTGAGCAATGTGCCTGTTCTAAGCCCCATGCTGCTTTTGTAATCTGAACACTGAAGGAGCTGGGGATCACAGCTCTTCCCTGAAGTACCCATCCTGAGCCCTGTGAGTCACGCAAGCAGCCTCTCCCCGTGTTCCGCTGCCACCTTCTGCCCCAGTCTTCTGCTGGCGTCTCCGCTCAGTTCCCTGACCCCCGCCCTGCACAGGGGAACCCTAAATGACCCGAGCTTCCCACCTCAGATTAGGACACTGAGGCTGGAGGGCTGGCAGCTTGCCAGGAGTCCACACGGAGTTCCTGACACGGCAGAGATGGGCTCTTGTCTCTGGAGCTCGTTTCTTCATGCCACTTTCAGTTGCCCTTCCCCATGCAGACACTGTCACTACCCCCAACGTGTTCAAAGACAGACATTTCATGAGTGTCGATACCAACACCAGGACCATATGTGCTGATCCATGCCACATTGGAATCCAGAAAAGGGCCACCTGCCCATCACAGGCTGCGGATGACTAGATTTATTCACTGGACTAAAAATCCTTTTCTCTTTGAGTCTCTAGAAACTAGATTTGAGCAAGGGCAATCACTTAAAAGCCAAGTCAGAAGAGCCATCAGCCCTCACCAGTAGCGACTGCAGTATATCTCGTATAGGATGGAGGTTTTGCTAAGAGGTGCCATTCATCTTCTGGAGTCCATGGCAGACACTTGACCCACGGCAGTAAAACACAGTGAATTATACCTTATCCTTGGGCAAGATGCCAGCAGGGAGACAGCACTTGCTTGGTTAACATTTAACTCTCTCTCCCTGCAGAGTGATTTTTAATAAAAAGTTTGCTGTGCTATATGTTCTGTAACCTAAAGATAAATTAAAAAGATACCTGATTTACAAGGAAATATACTGCAAAGTGCAAAACCAGTGCACCAACATAATTTCATGCTCCCTTTGCCACCAACTGATTATTGCAAATTAAATTTTGTTCTAATCAACGCAAGCTGTTGGAGGGTGCGCCAGCGCTGCGCAAAGGTATTCTTGCAATCTGTGGGTCACATGACTTCCGTGGAGATGCCCTTTCCTGGAGTTCTCACCAACTTTACTCTGTTCAGCTTTTGAGTGCATTTTAAGTGCATTTAATTTTTGAAATGTTCTGCTGTGAACTGCTCATTCACACCAGAAGAGGCTCCAACATAATTCAACCCACTCTTCCTTGAAAGCTTCTTTGGCATTGAAAATGATTAAGTTCAGCCAAGGCTACTTTGAGAGCAAAGTAAAGACCTAAAAACAGAGATTTGAAAGAGCATGGAGATGACCTTTTTCATAGCTGCTGTTTCTCCCAAGTGAGAAGGGACAGCTACAAATGGATGTGACATGGAGAAGCCTTTGTGAGGAGTGCTACCACTGCTCTTGCTGTTGTTGTTGTTGTTACTACACTTTCCTGAACAAGGTGGTGGGCGGTGCAAGCCCAGCTTGGGATGAAATTGTTCAAAGCTAAAGCCAGCAATCAGCTTAGACACAGACGGGGTCAGAAGAGCAGCACAGTGCAGAAAGAGCCAGGGAGGGAGGACGTGATGGGGATATGGCATTCCCAGCTGCCCCTCACCCACCTGCCTCCTGCACATGCCCTTCCTCACCTCCAAGGGAAGAGGCCTCTGGCTTCCGAACTGATGCTTCTGAAAAGGACCACATCGTTTACCAGAGACACAGACCGTTTAGGAACATTGGGCAGCAGTTGAAATAACAGAGAAGCCTGCTCTACATATTAAATTATAAAAAATGTACACGTCAAAGATAGGCAAAAAATTTTAATTAGGCCATTGCAAGCTAGATCTTCCAAGAAGAGAAATTGTCAGGTAAGGAAACAGATTGTCCAGTAGCGCCTCCGGTTTTATTTACTACCTACTGCTAGCGCAGATCTCACACCTTGGAGAGTTTTGAGAGAAGACATCTTAGCAATGCCATCTTAGCAGTGCCAGCTTTCGTACTTCGCTGGCACTTTTCCCCCTAAGGATACCGGAAGAGTAGCTTTAATTATTATACTGAAAGTATAAATATTTATATATTTGGTAGCTCAGCTTTGAGATGTTCAACCTAATGACACATTATTTTGAATGTGTACCATTTGTTCAGGAGGAGGAATCCCTGAAGTGTAAATCTGAAATTGATGTGTACAGAAAGTTTCATGACTTGATCAAAACATGTTAGAGTCAGTCTTAAAACTGAACATCTCTCTCTGACATGTAGGGAAAGTGTCATTCTTCGCCCGGTGCTGAGGAAGGGAAGTCGTGCCTGGCAGCTGGGAAGTGTGCCCACGGTCCTGACGACTTTACTTCATCCATTCTGAATTATCCCTGTCCTTTGTCACCCACTTCACTAAGGTGTCTGCCTTGGGGAGTATAAACCAGAAGTACCCATCCAAATCCTTGCAGGCTGGGAGCCCTTAACATCTGCAGGGCCATACCTTGGGCTGCCTCTGCACCACAAGGTATTGTGAGGGGCCAGTGCACACCCCCAGGTGTCATACTTCACCCGCACATGTGCCATTGCCTCAGCTGTGCATCAAGGCGAGATATGCCCATCTCCAGGGCTCACATCCCTTGAGGGGACAGTCCTGAGAGGAGGCTCAATCTCAGTCTGAAGCAGGCAAGGTCCCCCTGGCTACAGAATCCTACAGTTGTGGTACCCAATGTCTGGTCTAGAAGGAAGAGAAAGGTTCTGGTTAAGTAAGTCCCTTTGGCCCAGTGGGTTCCTCACACACTGGGTAAAAGAGTGAACAAAGAGTAAATCTGGTCTTTGTAAGAGGCACTGGGGAATGATAAGGACTGTGGTGACGTGGAAACCACAAATCCCGGCAAGAGAGCAGCCAGTACCCCGCTCCGGCTGATTATTGCCAAATATTTCAACAGAAACTGGAAATCCCTATTTCTGTAAAATCTCCCTACTTACAAACATCAGCAGTTAGTGTTAACAATTAGTAAGTAAAGCACAGGCCAGCCTTGTGCAAGCCAGAAGCAAGCCCTGAGTACGAGAGCACACTCTGGTCTCAGCGTCTCACCTGGCAGCTTTGTTGACAACTTCAGCCCTCCCAAAGGGGAACCCGGTCAGCTGCAATGATTTCCAGGATTGCTGGTGGACATCAAATGGAAATTTAACCTAAAAATAAGTTGCTTGACTTTGGTAAGTGCTGAGTGACTGAATACTGTAAACCCACTTGTGAACCAGAAGAATGAATCGGGGGATCCTGGAAATGAGGAATTTTTTTTTAATGCGCAGGGTGTTTGGTCAGTTATGGCATTTTATTGTACTATTCTGAAACAACCAGAAGGAGTTGTTGGAAGAGATAGTCTCATTTGGATGCTGATCCATGAAACAGAGATAGGAGGTGGGTTCCATCCCTCAAAAGCAATCATGGTACCAATTTTCAAGTGTCAGGGACCCAAGACAATCCCAGAGAGGACTTAGAAGTTGTTTGAACGTCTTGGTTTAAAATATACTCATTCTATAACAATAAAGGTTTTCTTTTCTGGGGGTTGAAAGAGAAGTCCAAAAGCAGTAAAGGAGTAGTCTGCACTTGTAGTTGGCTCTCTCACTGACCCAGGACCACTCGAGCTGATTCAGTCTATGATTTCCTTTTTCTCTCTAGAGCTGCTGGTACAGCCACTCCCAGCCATTTACTACAAAGACAGATAATTTGTCTTTGTTGCTGATTTACTGACAACCACAGCTCTCAACCCCCTAAAATATGACAGCCAGAAAATGAGGTCTGTCTTGTCACTGCCTATGACATTTAGTTACTGATTTGGTCCAATAACTCAGGGAGATTTTCAATTTAATGTAGCAGCATAATAATTGTTTGTTTTTCTTCTTCTAGACTATCTCTAATCACTTTATTTCCAACTTGCACAAGGACTGATAAAGGACATGTGCTTCACCAACACAATAACTTCTTGTCTCTGGATTATGTTTCTCACAGGAAGGATGCATTTTAAAGGCAAAAATTTTAAATTCTAGTTCCAAAAAGGGAAAGCCTTTGACATTGACATTTTGTTTTTCATGATCTTAGTATGTTTCTTACAAATGAAAAGCATCCTTTTGTTTATTAAAATATCTATTAATTAGGAAAAATCAAATTTATCAAATAAGAAAAACAATAGCCTGCATCTCTTTCATTCTATAATTATAAACAAGAAATTAATATTTTTGTAGAGCTGTTGTCAGCTTCCTGCTACTGTAATAAATATCTGAAATAAATCAATGTATAAGGAGAAAAGGTTTTTTTGGCTCACAGTTTTGGAGGTCTCAGTTCATGAGCTAGTGGCCCTGCAGCTGTGGACAGGGGTCAACACATCCTGCAGGAGAATGTGGAAGAGCAATGTCATTCATGTCACAGCCAGGGAGTGCAAGAGAGGAAGAGAGTCTCTGGCCACATCCCAATGACCAGAAGACTTCTCACAAGGCCCCAGCTACCAAATAGCTCACAGGCTGAGGTCCAAGCCAGTGACACAGGGCCTTTTAGGGCCACTGAAGACCCAAACTGCTATCCAGCTGGCTGCAAATTCAGCCTGTGAAGCTCAAGCTAAGAGCCTCCACTGGAGCTTTGACTGATTATTTTTGACTCACCGTGTGAGACACTTTGTATGGTTCTAAACAGAAGACAATATCTAGAAAGACCCAAAAAGGAATCACTAATAGTCACAATTTTCCACCTTATTATTCCACCTTTGAGTATACTAACTACATTTTAAGGGGGAAACAGAAGAGTCTTGTTTTTAACTATAGTATTCTAGGTGCTCGCTTCAGTTATTTTAACACAGTGCCAATACGTAGGCCCTAAATTAAAATGACAGAATTCTTCCTGGATGACAGAGTGACTTTCATTTCAAAAGCCAGCTTCTCTTGACTGCCAGCTTGATTCTGCCATATACATGTGCTTCCTTTCTGGTGGGAGTGTTGGTTTGGCCTCTGGTGAATAGATTATCTTTTGTAATATGGAATATAAATAAGCAAAACCTCCAACACCTCATAGAGATTCAAAATTCATAATTTTTTAGCCTGCTATCATTATTAGATTTGATCTTACAGTGAGCAAACTACTTTTTTTGAATGAAAAAAAAAACTTTATCATTATAAAACACTATAGAGATATGGTAGGCATACAGAAGCCATATACACCACTTATAAAGAGTGCATTTCCCATACTGCATGAAGTAAATTAATACCTCTAGGCTATTACAATATCACAAAAGAGAAATATTACCTAAAAAAAATGGTAGGGTGCTTTGTGTGAACACCCCCAGGTTTGTTAACTCTGCCCATGCCTATACACATCTAGAGCAGCATTTCTCAAAGGCCTTGAAACTTGATCCTAATTTCTGTACCTAATCTTCACCAGACATACTGGAAAAATCTTTTCCTAGGTGAGCCTTGAATATGTATTCCTTTTATAAGCTCTTTAAGTGATTGATATGCGCCATATGGTTTGGGAGTCTGTCTGCTGCTTTTGTGATCATCTTTGGTCAATTATTAGGCAACTGAGATGTTCAGTATCTAAGAGTCAGCCTTGCTCTGGATTTTCAGTCCTAACAAGAGCAAGATCTGAACAGGCAGCAGCACAGAGACTAATGTGGGGTTTTTCCTGTGTTTTCGAGAGAGAGTAGGATGGGGTCAAGAACAGGGGATATGATACCTGGGTGCACAACCCTTCAAGTGCTCTGCATAGCTGGAGGAAAGAGAAGCCAGTCAGCCAGTCATGTCACTAGCCACTCCCTTATACTTAAGAAGCATCCGCTAAGACCTTGACTAAATACCCACCTTCCTGTGTGTGATGTGTATTCCAGGGGAGCCCTGCCCAGAGAATGGGAGGAGTCCGGGCTCCATATCAACCCACCACAGCTCTCCACGCAGTGACTACGCAACCTACACCAACAGCAACCACGCTGCCCCCAGCAGCAATGCCTCTCCCCCCGAGGGCTTCGCCTCCCACAGCCTGCAGACGAGCGACGTGGTCATTCACCGCAAGGAGAATGAAGGCTTCGGCTTCGTCATCATCAGCTCCCTGAACAGGCCTGAGTCTGGATCCACTATAAGTAAGTGACAGCTTCACCTGCATTCCATTGAGGGTCATGGCTTTACTTGTTCTCACAGTAGGGATAAGAGACAAACAGATCAGAAGATGGTTGTAGACTTGCTGACTAACCCGACCCTCACAGGCTGTGGGCACAGATAAGCTTAAACCCTCCCTAGCACTGAGTAGCCAAAAGTTGCTGACCTTTGGCTCAGAAAGAGTGCAAGACCATAACTGCTACTCCTCCAACCCCTCAACCACTGAAAAAGCTTTTCATTCATTTGTAAGTTAGGAAGCAAATAAAATAGCAACGCTATAGTGTTGCTGTGAAAGCAGGGTGCCCCTTTCTATGGGCTACTCATAGAAAGCTCTCTTTGGATTAAGAGCTATTCAGTCAAATGAAACTCACCTTGCAGAGGTCTGGTGGAAAGCAGTCCAGACAGGCTTCATGTGGGAAGCACTTTCTTAGTTCAAGAAATATACAGAAACCCAGAGTGGCAGCAAACAAGGGAGCAAACAAGGGAGATGGAGCAAACAAGGGAGAAAGCCATGATACCAAGACATGGATTTGGGTGGGCACCAGGGTGTATTATAGGCGAAGGGCATGGGAATCATTAAAAGCTTTTAAGCAGTGAACTGAAATAGGATGTATTTTTCTCTTGAAAGATGAGCCCAGCTGCTTGTGGGAAATAAACCCAGGGTGGTAGTGTGGGTTAGGTTAGGAGCAACAGTGGAAGAACAAGGTGTAGTGTAGCCAGCAGGCCAGAGATACAAGAGACCATCCCAGGGTCGGAGCAGTGGAGGAGAAGAGGGTGAATTTAACCCGAGGCCCTGTGAGCCGCCTCAGCAGGGAGAGGGGCTATTCCAGTCGGGCGTCTGCGCAGACTCTTGGCCTCCTCGTTTGTTTCCCTCTGTACAGCAGTGTTTCAGAATTCATTCAGCAGCCAGCAAGCTGTGGGGCAGAAGAAGCGAGGGGACACTTTGTCATTTTTTCTTGGTGAAATGACTTAGCCCAAAATGTGATAGAAACACCAGAATAGAAGAGAGCATTAAAAGAAAAAATAATAATTTTACCCAAGTTGTAATCTAAAATACTAAAACCTGTGGTAGTTCCCAGTTCTTATGGGGCAGGTGTGGACCAATTACTCATCAAGTTACTGGGAATGAATAAAAGCTTTATACGATAATGTTAATATTATCAAAAGGCCACCAGAACTACATGGAGAGAATTGCCCTGCGTAGCGTGAGCCTTGATGAATTCAAGAGTGAAAACTACAGAGACACTGAACCTCAGCAAACAGGTGCAGAAGACAAATTACATGCATCTGAAAGTACAATTTCATTTCTCTTTTTCTTCATGATAAGCTGAAGGGATAAATCCAATATTTAAGCATAGACTCAAAGCAAGATTCTGTCAGTAGGATGGATTCACCAAGATTAACAAGGCACAAGACTACAGATTTTCATGAATTATATAAACAGCCTTCCAATATTTTACACTTGGGGAACGTGTTCACAGAGAGCTCTTATAGCTATTCCAGTCATTCCCATTGTTTATTGGGGCAGAATACCTAGAGGACTAGAATCAAAATAAAAACTATAATACCACAATGAAAACACTAGGCATGAGTTTAAGCTTTATTTAAAGCGTAATAGCTTTCTTTTAAATGTATAATGAGGGAGGGAGAGTGTGGGTGTGTGTGTGTGTGTGTGTGTGTGTGTGTGTGTGTGCACGTGTGCTTTTTCTGTTGCAAATCTATACATAAATAGGTTTGGGAAAACAGCAGGTGCTAATGCTTATAATTAATATGTGAATTTCTCTCTCTACCAAGTGACATCACCCTGACCTCAAAAAAATTATAACTACTTTCACAATAATGTTATTTTACTAAAAGTGTTTTATCCCTGGAGAGTAGAAATGTATTCTATTAGTTCATTATACCTCATGGTGTCTTTTTTTTTCACATTTATTTCTTTTTATTTTAAGGCATTGGGAATGCAGGTTGCCCCATGCTCTGTAGCAAAAGCAGCTATTACGCAGATCACTCATTGCTTTACAGCATATAATTTGCAGCATCCACCTAAAAGGTTCCTGGAGCCAGTGCTCTTTCCTACTTAACTTCTGTAATGATTTTGATCTCTAATTTGGAAGAGAAATGCTAAGAGCTTCATGAATAGTAAAGAGCTATCTTTGGGCCTCATCTCCAACATCAAAATATCAAGAGTTCCTGGGCTGTATGAGATTGACACCGGATGATGCCACCAGGTGGTCGGGAGTCTCGCTCCTTCCCACAGCTCATCTTTTTCATTTTCATGTCTTGCCTTGGCCCATGGGTCATTAACATGGTCACTGTTGATTAGTTTGTTGTCCACCATGCCTTGCTGAAGCTTTTCCATGGTGACCTGCGGCCATTATGCCTCTGATAAGAGCAACATTCAGTGTAGATGGTGTGGTTCGCAGCTCAGGTGCTCCAGTCACACTGCCTGAATTTCAAACCCGGCTCTGTCATGTACTGGCCACGTGACCTTGAGGAAATTCTATAACCTCCTTGGGCCTCCATTTTCTTGGTTGCAAAGAGAAGATCAATTTCATCTTTATGTTGTAAGGTTGCAATGAAGGTAATGGAATCTGTGCATGGAGGGGCTTAGAAAAGCACTGGCTTGAAGTAAGAACTAAATGCATTAGTAAGAACTAAATGCTACTGTCTAGGCCACCATTGCTGCTGGGAATCTCTTCCACTACCTCAGCTCACACTTCTTGGTGGCACAGAGTTCATACCACCATTCAGCCATTAGTCAGAGTCCCCTATCTTCCAGGGCAGCTAAATCTGGGGAAGATGAGCATATCTCAGAGGGCCAGTGCCCCTGAACTGCACAGACCTGCATGGATCATAGTATTTTCCACCTCACCCACCTGTAGGCTGGGTCAGCAGTGGGAGCCCAGGGCCATGCCACTCCAGCTGTGAAGCCAGTAAACTAGGAAAGTCATGGAAAGCATCAACATTCAGACTGGAAACTATGCCTCTTAGCATCTCCCTGCAAACATTATGTCATTATCGAATAGTATCAGGCAGAGAGGCGACATGAAGAAGCCAAGTGTAAACTTCCCCTCCCTTTAAGTAAAGATTCCTCCCAGAGCTTCTTGAGCTAAACCAACTTTGCCAAGGATGTGTGATATCCAACTAAATGAGAAATTGTGAGGTGAGGCTCCTGGCTTATTCCTGGGCAACAGCATTTAAATCGGGCACTTTACTAAAGCCCTCACATATTCTTCTTCAAGATATTATTTATCCCATAAATAAAGAAGGAATTTTATTTGTATTACATAATGTAATGAAGGAGCAGACTGCTTTCTTCCAAGGCCCTAAAGGCCAGCCATCACTTGGAACAAGACAAAACTCAGAAGCCTTCAATCTGTAATGCAGGAATATCCTTCATGGTTTAAAGCAAAAACAGAACAGCTTTCTGAGCACTTGTGTCCCATGATCCAAGTACTTAGTATTTTGTCAGGCCTTCCAATTGGACCCAAGGGAAAACAAAGTTGGTTTCCACATCACAGCCTAGGATCAGAGTGAAATGTAACAGGTAATTTACATTTCAAATTGTTACAGAGAGTTGAACAAAGATTTATATGTAAATGTGTCCATCAGCCTTCCATTCCTATGTCAAAATACCTGAGCAAATCAACTTATAAAGAGGAAAAATTTATTTTGGCTCATAGTTGCAGAGGTTTCAGTCTATGGTGGATTTGTGCCACTGTTTTGTGGTAAGGCAGAACATCATGGCGGAAGTGCACAGTGACAGAAACCTGTTCACCTAAGGCAACTGGGAAGTGAAAGAAAGGAAGAGGAGAGGCTGGAGTCCCACTATCCCCTTCAAGGCCACACCCCTAATGACCTCACTTCCTGCCAGGAGATCCCACCTCTTAAGGGCTCCACTACCTTCCAGTAGCACCACAGCCTAGTAGCCAAGTCTTTAGCATATGTGCCTTTAAAGGGCATTTATGATCTAAACCATCATAACAGATATTTATTGCCATATTACTATATTGATAAGCTTAGAAAGAAATGGAAATAATTTCCAAAACTTCCTAAAACCAGTGACATTAGTATATTTGTGAGGTTTCAATCACTTCCTGTTGTCATTCTCACTAAGGATACAGGTGGCTCAGGCAGCCTTTCTTCTCTGAGTGGATCAGATGGCCCCATGACTGTGTGCAGTGGGGCTGATAAAATGGTCCTTGGGCCTTCCCAACTCAAGGCCTAGGTCTTGACATCCAGCTTTTATTGCAGAGCTATACTCTCCCACAAAACCTCCAGAAGGACTTTGATACAAGTGATGAAATAAAAGAGAGCCTCAGTCTCCACCTTTTCAATAACTTTTCAGGGAGGTTTCTTTGGAGTTCATGGGGTAGACATCACCACAGGCAGAATGGGCATCAGTAGTGGAGACTGACAATCTGTTAAAGGAATTTATAAACTTATATATGTGCCCATAACAAGCTGCAAGGGAGGACATGTTCAGGACAGCAGCCATCGCATCAATCTAAACAGTCAGAGTAGAGAATAACCATCTCAGTCCTGTTACCTTCCTTTGTGTTTACCAGCAGTGTTGACTCGATTTTCTGTCTTTATCTGCAAGCACAGCATTGGCCAGAAGGCTGTTGACTTCTCAGCAGTCTTGTAGCTCTGCACTGTGCTGAAAATCTTTCTTTCTACTTGTACTTGCTCTGGCACAGGTTGGAGTTTGGCCTTGGTCATTATTGGCTTTCGCCAAGGCCCATGCAATCTCATGTTCAGGTAAAGAGTTTGTTATCTTAGGTAAAATGCCCGCATAAACTCCTCAAAGTGTTGTTGATGGTATCCCTAAGCATGGAGTTTAAAAGGGATTCCAGAACTTCAAAAATTTAGCTAGAGGTCTTCAGTGACATTTTTAAGCATGGTTCCTTAAAGTGATGAAATATAAATAAAATAATAGTGAAGTAACTTGGGCTTTTTCCCACTAACCATGCAGTCTCTGAGT